CAGGGTTTCCAGGGAATCCGCAAGAATCCTTACGAATCCTTTGGAACCGTTGGGAAGACGAGAAACCCTGAAGAACCTTCTGGAAATCACGCCTGGGCAACCCCGTCGGGACCGAACCCACCGCGTCCCCCGACGGTGGTCAGAGTTGGCTGCATCATGTGTCACGGGGTTGTTGTCCTGTAATGCTTTCTGCCTGTGCACAGTTTTACGCTTTCGTCGCGCAGAGATGCAACACATGTTGCGTTTTCTTGCACGTCTGGCAGTTGCGTACCTAATTATTAGCGATTAACGCGCCTCACGCATACTTGTGGTGAAGTCGGTTTTGCGGAATGTCTCCAGCGCCGCGAGTGTCTCGCCTGAGGTCGGGGCTGACGGCGAAGGCGCGTCTCACGCTGGGTTCAAAAGGGTGCGCGCTGCAAACTTGGCATGATTGACATTCCCCGCCGTCCAAACGCAAGACTCGTCTTCTTTCAGGGCGCAGTTCCACGCATTCACAGACAAGCGCCACGACGAGCCCCACACAGACTCACATACTTATTCTTGCGAAGAAGCAGACCCTTTTCAGAAGGCAGCGCGCATACAACACACACCAACACATCGAGCCCGAATGCGAAGTCTGCCGCAAAAACCTTCGGTGCACCCCCCTTGGAGGCCACGAGCGAACCGTGTGAAGACTGTACTGACATGGTCCGGGCGGCGGCGCGCGGCCTGTGCTACAATCGCCGTCGGCGGAGCTCCCTATGATGCGACGAGCCGCATGAAGAAAGAACTGAAATGTTCTCGGCGGCGGCAAGCGGCCTGTGTTTCAAAACCTTTGTTGGCGTTCCCTTTGGGGTCACAGACCGTGTCAGGATGGCCCACAAAACGCAAAGCTGCCCGCGCTACAAGGGCCTTCGGCGGGCTTCCGTATGGGACCACGACTTGCAAGAGCTATAACATGAAATGGCCTGGGCAGCGGCGTGTGGCCTGTGCTGGAACGACAAACGTCGGTCGAGCTCCCTGTGGGGCAACGAACAGTGTGAAGGGGGTGCTGGAGAGGATTAGGCGGTGGCAAGCGGCCTGTGCGACAAAAGCCATCTGCGTTGCATCATGTGGAGCCGCGAGCCGCGTGAGACGAGCGCTGTAATTCGAATCCGAAAATGCTGGAGACGCATGACATGTCAGGACTCATGCTGCGCATGATGGATTGAATATTGACGCAGCATGTGGCGCTTCATCAGCCCAAGACTGACCCACCTATCATTGGCCTGCTGATATATAGTAGGTATAACTTTGTTTTATGTGTACACATATATATATATATATACATACATATGAACACATACATAAAAATATGTTGTACCATACTGTCCGATACAACAAGAAAGCGTTGAGCCTGTTGTGCCGTAGCTGGACCAGGGGATATCGCCAGGGATCGGGAAGACAGTCGCGCAAAGAATACAACAGCCGGTGCAATGTTCAACCTTACCTTCAGCCGGTCACTAACGTTGATCGAGGACAGCATGAGCACCCTGGACATCAAGTTGGCCTTAATACCTGAGGACATCCAACGAATACGATCAGACGGACTTCCACTCGAAGATCACTGACGTATCCGTCGTTGACGACGCGCTATACATGGCATCATCGCGCTCACCTGGTCAAGTCCAAACTAACGCCTCCGCCGCTTTCGATCTCACACTTCTTTCGTCAGCGGCGAGGCGGCGCACTCCGCTCCAGCGAGAAGCTAGAAAGGGCACTAACTAGCGAATTGGCCGGCGGGTAAAAAGTGAGGGGGGGGACGGCCGAGAGGAAGAACCCACACTCAGACGTCGAAGAGTTCGACGATGAGCAGCCAGGGGGGGCAGCCGATCTCACACACGAGACAATGGCAGAGTACGATTTCACTGTCAACGACAGGCGGACGGATTGGCGCCTCATGATTGCCCTGCATGGCAAAGGGTCTCGAGAGCTCCATAACGAACTTTACCCCCAAGGCGGAGTGCTGATGGAGTCGGGCATATGCGGGGCCACGCCTTTATAAATTCCCAACGCAAATAAATTGAGACCATCTTCGGCTTGGATGGATGCTTCGCATCGCCAGGAGCGTTAAGATGTTCATAGTTCCGGCAGGGTCCGTGTTGAGACCCTTTTCTTGTCGGCGCCGAATGCGCCAACTTTCTCCTCGATCACTTATTCCCACTTTCCTGCAGCTGGGGGGCATGACGTCGATATCGTCTGCTGGTCCACGACCCTGTTGACGACGCCCATAGGCTCTCAGTGGGCGCTGAGTGCGCGGCATACTTAACCATTTTTGGACATCGCCGTTCGCTGGTGAATTACCTGCGACAGCCTCTCAACCGATGCATCAATTCGTTGCTGGCCAACTGCACCCCATATTTCTCAAGACGAAACGCTGTTGCTGAGGACGGCGGACGTGGAGATCGGGAAACGCAAGAAATACCAAGGCTATAGCAGATACAAGGTACAAGTTAGAGCCCAACAACGTGATCATCAGCACCACCCTGGAGGCGAGACCTTGGAGCGAGTTCAGCAATCCAAGGTTTTGATTGAGTTGGTTCCACCAGTCGTGCCGGTGCTGAGGGGGTGTCCTGGTGCAAAGCGCGTGCTGATGGGCGACCATGATGCGGACGCTCTGAATGCTTATGCTACGTACTGGATTGGAGAATTGATACCTCGAATTGTTCTGACTCAGTGCTGTGGGCAGCTGCATCCGACGCGGACCTTAGCGACCAGCTGGCAGAATGCATCATGTCCAAAGAACTCATTGCTTCTCTCTTGCGACTACACCTAACTATGTGGATGTGACAGCGGCGTTTGGATTCGGACCACTCCCCACAGTCGCAGAGATCAGGAGCATAGTCATGGAGACACCCCGAGCTGACCATCAAGGAGCGCGTACATGAGAAGAGGGAGCAAGGGTATGTGTCCTGTTGGCCGGCTGCTACATCTGGCTATTACGACTCGGACGCCTTTCATTGCTTTGAGGACTGTTCTCGTGTCGGTCATGTCATGGGCGTGATACGTCATACTTGTCAGGGAACGGAATGCGTGCCGCTCTCCGACGGCCGTCAGCCGGGGCGTCAGAAATAGTTATGTGGTTGTGGCGGTACAGGTGGAGAGCCAGGCCAAGAAACACCCAGCTTGCCTCCAGGGTGCCCTGGGCTTCTTGGGCCTCGATGGTTTTACCACGGGGAGCGCGGTGTTCCCACACCGAAGATCTATGCACGTCCGGGGGTCTCAGGGTTAGGTTTCTGTTTTTTCTGGAAACGCACCCCAGCCAAGCACATTTAGTAAGTCCTCTGGTCAGGCATGCGTCAGATCACAGAGGACAGTGCTTCATGAAGACGTTGCGTCGTCAGGAAAGCTGGGCGGTCTACGCCAATGGCTGCTGGCAGTCTCTCGGGTCTCAGGGTGGGGTTCCTTGTGGAATGTTTCTTGTGGAAGGGCCCCTACTGTTAAGTCGGGCCTGTCCCCCTACAGGGGGATTTTGAGCGAAAAATTAAAAAATAGTGAAAAATATATCAAAAATGTTCAAAAATTGTCAAAAGATAATCCCCTGACTGTTTTTCCTATAATACTTGGAATACTCCTCCTATAGAGGGACAGGCCCGACTTGACCCTACTGCAGCCGTTGGCCTGGTCCCGCAGGCCCTGCGGGCTTCTCTCGCGGGCTCCCCGCCGTGCCAGAGGGCCACCTCGCCGAGGCGAGACGGGCGACGGCAGGCGTCCGCAGGCTCCGAGCGGCGCGGCGGCCACCGTCAGACGCGGCGGCCTCTCTCGATGGGCCTGCTTTCCACCACCACCACCACCACCACCATAAGTTGGAGGGGGAAGGAGGAGGAGGAGGAGGAGGAGGACGAGGAGGAGGAGGACGAAGAAGAGGAGGAGGAGGAGGAGGACCCCTTTCCCCTCCAACTTATGGTGGTGGTGGCGGAAAACAAGCCCATCATCTCTCTCTCTCTCTCTCGCTCTGAGCGCGGGGATCGGGCCCACAAGCTCTGTCGAGCAGCCCGCTGCGTTCCCTTTCCTTCGTCCTCGTCGTCCGCGTGCCGTCCGGTGGCGCGAGGGCGGTGGTGGTGGGCCCCATGTCGGCGTCCTTCCACCGGTAAGTCTCACGGCTTCCGCTGGATGAGGGTGAGCTTGGAGGAATGGCAAGTGAACGTTGTTTTATTCGTAGCTTCGCCATTGAGCGGAAGGGGGGGGGGTCTGGCTCCAGACCTTTGCTTAGTGCGACTGTTTGCAAGAGTGCGGCCTCTGGGGGAGACTCCACCCGCTCGAAACAGACGTCAAACAACAGCCAAGAACTACTCCATAGGAGGGAAAGGGGGGGGTGGGGGGCCCGCGCCGATCTGCAAAACAATGAAAAAAAACGATCACGAGGGGGGATATCAACGGGGGGGGAGATCGGAGCTACCCGTGACAGTTTTCGCCAGGGTGGTGAGAGCCGCAGACGCGGCGGCTGCTCTCTGAACGCGGGGTCGGGACAGCAAGCCCTGCCGACGGGAGAAGGGAGGTGATTCCCCCTCCTCCTCCTCCTCCTCCTCCTCCTCCTCCTCCTCCTCCTCCTCCTCCTCCTCCTCCTCCTCCTCCTCCTCCTCCTCCTCCTCCTCCTCCTATTCCGACCGTGCAGCACGCGTGCTGCCGCGCTGTGGAAGCCGTGCCGCGCCAGACCGGTCACAGCCTCCACTGGCTGAGGGGGGTGGTCAGGGAGGACTGGATGGACAAGGTACCCCTTGCCCGCGCAGCACGCGAGCTGCCACCGAGTGGAGGCTGTGCGTGCCCCGTTGCTGACCCTATGACGCCACGGGCTCGCTCCGATGGCACGCCGACGAAGAATGGCTGCGCACAGCCTTCCGGCTTCTAGGCCCGCGCCCCGGCTCCTTCGCGACCTGCTGCATGACGCCCTGCTCCGAGGCCTTGCCGTCCCCTGCGGGCGCCAGGCTCGGCTCCAGCGGCGGCGCAGCAGCGTCCCGCCCGCCGAGCTCCACCACCTGCGCCTCCGAGGGGAGGGGCGTGGCAGGAGAGGGGGGCGAGGGCAGAAAGTGGGGTAGGGCAGGAGGCGAGGGAGGCGAGGGGGCGAGCGGGGGATGGGGAAGGGGAAAGGCGGGGATGGGGGAAGACACAAACCAGCCGGATGCCACAGGGCGCAGCTGAGGACAACGTCTGGCAGTGCGGCCGTGCTCTTGCCGCCTCTGCCAGGGCGCGACGGAGGACGGGAGGAGGGGAGGAGAAGGAGGCGGAGTGGCGAGGGTGGGGGACGGGAGGGGAGGGCGAGGGGAAGCAGGCAGGGTGAGCCAGGGGGGGGGGAAGGGAGGGGAGGAGAGGGGGGGGAGAGGAGGCAGGCAAGTAAGCCAGAGGATTGAAAGAAAATGGATGGAGAGCGTTCTCTTATGTTTTGCGTCCCCCAGGCAGTAACGTTACGATTCGTGTCTGCGCCGCCTGGGAATGCCTGGGAATAGCCACGACCACTCGGATAGCAAATACCTATAGGGATCTGCTATGGCAGAGCGTGCGCCACTCTATAGATGCGCAAGGACCTGCGATGGATAGCTACGGATCGCTAAGCGCAAACTAGTGGATTGCTGGGAATAAAATATGGTTCTGCTCAACGCCAGGCCGAAACGACCTGTTCGACTACACTTCTGTTATCGGTTCGCACTCTGAAAAAAGTCTGGGCGCCCCTCGGCCTGAAGGGGGACGTGCTCGCCGTGTTCGTTCTTCCCCTCCTCTTCCTCATACTCCTCCTCTTGTCGTCCTACTCCTCCGTCTTGCGTTGCAAGGTACCTCACTGCACAACAACGTGGCAACACCTCGCTGTGGCGCACTGGGGGCATGCGAACTGGCGTGAGCCCATGACCAACCCAACCTTAGCAAACGGCGCATATCTTTCACGATCGGACAACAACCAGGGAGTTACCTCAAGCTGGGAACCTGAAGCATGCAGGAGGCTGGAACACACACGCCGTTGGAAACACTTGCGGAACATGCGGAGGCCAGCTGCTGGATACACGTGCGGACGGCTGGCGTACAAAGGCATGCGGTCACATGTGTATCCAGCTCTCGCCCAGGCTGCCCACGTCATGTGTGTACAACTTCCTGGTCAGAAACACACAGGGCAGATGCCCCGTTTTGTTGGGCTCTATTTTCTCAACAAGGGAAGGAACACGACGACGACGACGACGACGACGACGACGACGACGACGACGACGACGACGACGAAACACGACGACGACGCGAGGAAGAATGAGTAGGGATGGGTGAGGAGCGAGGAGGAAGAGGAAGAGGAAGATGCGAAGGAGGAGGGAGGCGCTCTGCCGTAGCAACTCCCTGTAGGCATGCGCGCCCTGCCGTAGCAGATCCGTAGAAATATCTGCTGCCCGAACTGTCTTTGGTTTCCTAAGCACTCCCAGACGGCGCCGGCGCGAAACGTGTTACCAGCCCCCTCCCTCACCCCGCTCTCGCCCCGGAATCCGCCGACCCCGCTCGCCGGGGGCGAATAGGCGAGGGAGACATTTCGCTTCCTTCCTCCCCTTTTCCCCCCCCAGGGCCCCAAAATCGCATTGAAATGGGGGGAGGGGGTTCCTCAACGCACCCCCAGGGCCTCCGGAGCTTCCATAGCTACACTCCGTGGACTTGCGCAAACTGGGTTCCAACACGCTGCCGGGAAGAGCTCAAAAACAACCAAGGTGGCCTCAAGACTGCCCAAGCGGCCTCCAAGAACGCCCCAATCCATTTGGGAAACATTGTTTAGCAAGTTCTCATCTCCGGTATCAACAGCGTCCGAGACTGCTCAAGAGGCTCGCAAGATCGCTTCAAGACAGCCCGAGGAAGTCACCAAGAGGGCCCCAAGACGGCCCAACAATATTTCCCGGGAGGGCCCTACCAGAGCCCCAAGAGAAGCCCAAGAGAGGTAACTCAAATGATATTTCGAGCCGTCCGACCCGAGAGGCGCCAGCAGGCTCCCACGAAGGCCAGAAGCGGCCCCCAAAGAGGCCCAAAAGAGGCCCCCGAAGAGCTCACCCGTGGACTTCGGCCTTCCTCCGGGGGTCGGCAGACTGGCGTAGCCCTCTTGAAGGAACAACGCTGCTCAAGTAGGGAGGAGAGTAGGAGGGAGTTGGATGCTCATTCTGGGGACCTTCCTGGAGACACTCGCTCCACTCGTGCGTCGAAGCTGCGTCGAACGTCCGTCGATTTGAGCCGACCTTGAGTCGAACCGAAGTCGAAACTGAGTCGAACTTGAGTCGAACTTGTGTCGAACTTGTGTCGTACTAGAGTCAAACAGATCCGGTAGGTGGGCCAACAGAAGGTCCCCAAAAAGAGCATCTAAAGGGAGGGGCGTAGGAAAGGCCCAAGGTGCAGAAAACGCATGTGAGCCTCGATCCGTGCCCCCCCCCCCGCCGCCTCGATGACGCTGGGGGCCGCCGCCGCTGCCGCCGGCGCCGCCGGCCCTGGATGATAGGCAAGAAGGCTATCCCCAATATTTTGGGAGGTGGCCTAAGCTGGGAGGGCCAACCACATCGGGGACAGAGGGCCTCTTGTGCAGATGTGCCAGACGAGACCACCCAGACGTTTGGGGATATCCCCAAAGACCATCGACCCAACTGAGGCCAAGAATTCATTGTGTTCCTAAGGTTCGGCCCGACACGCGAAATCCCTCCAGTCTCGGTATTTCCTTGGCGCTCCAGATTCTTTCTGGCGATCCATGGGAGGCACAAGTACATACTAGTACTACTCCTTGGAGGCGCGCGTCCGACCCGAACAGATAGTATACAGTATACCCATCTTGTAGTTTATCGTTTCCCGAGCGGTGTGGCCAGGAAGCGCCCGCCACGACACACACACTATAAGACTTCTCGGTGCGCGCGTCGCCCCTGGGGGGGGGGGGGGGGCGACGCACATATAGCATAAGTGTTTAAGGAAGGAAAACCACACCACACGGACACGACAATTGGCGTTCACTAAACGGCTCTGGGCGTAAACTGAACAGCCCTGCCCTGTTCGATTCCTTCTTCAGACTCGTTTACTTAACGGTTTCGCATGTCGGGGTGATTGTTCCGAGGGTGGATGTTCTGCCTTCTGAGCATGTTGGGGTGACGCCGAATCAAGGCTAGAGCAGGCTGGAACATCACAAGGTCAGGGCCTGCACCACGCTCAATCCCTGGGGGCCCTGCGCTCCTGGACGCTGGGCGTCCCTGGCCCAGGCCGCGGCAGCGCCGCCCTGCGCGGCGGCCCCCGCGGGGCCCTCGCCGACCTCTGCGAGCAGCGACTCGGCGCTCGCGGAGTCGAGCAAGGACATCAGCTGGTCCACGTCCTCCCCAGGTTCGGGGGCGCGCAAGCACGGGTTCGCGATCCGTGGATCTGGCGCGCGGACGCCAAATCCATGGATCGGGAGAGGTGCCCTCCCCAACATGTGGCCGGCGCCGCCTCGCTCGGCGGCGGAAATCTGCGACTTCGCGTGGAAACGGGACCCGTCGCTGAAACACGCCCCCTTGATCCATGTTTGCGATCGCCTGACGGATGTCTGCTGACTTTCGAGACTCGGACGGCGTGTGATCTAGGGGCCAGCACAGGCCCTTGAGTTGGGCGCGAACTAGTGCGGGGCGAGATTTTTGGAGGGGGGAGAAACGTGCCCCTTCGGACCCCGAAGGCCCCACCTGGGGCCCGAAAGGGCCCCTTTAGTGCCCCTAAAGGGTCCCTTTCTGCAGCCGTTGCTGCCCCCCCCTTTTTTATCGCCCGCCCACTACGCGCCCTCCAATGGAACACAAAATGTTGGGCCCCCGGCCAAGCCGAGCAAAATAATAGGTGGCGACATCCGAACCCCAATCCCCACCAACCATCGATCCTCCTGGATCGACTGGAGGCAGGGTGTTGGGCCAGATTTCGCCACGTGTTCGACGAACTCCGAGTCCTAACCCCGCCGCCCATCGAGTTGCCTGAGTCGTTGATCGGAGATGGTGAGGTTCGGATTCGCTGCCGAGATCCGTTGGGCGAGAATTCATGCGGGAGCCCTTAAAGGAGGCCCTAAAGGAGCCCTTTAGTGCCCCGGAGGAGGCCTTTAGGGCCTGAAAAAGGCACCTTTCTTCCTTCCTTTCCTCGCCTCCCACTAATTCGTGCCCAAATCCAGGATGATGAAGCGGCCCTTCGCGCCGCTTGAAGCGTGGCAGCACAACGTGCCACGCTGGCGGAGGTTGCCGCGGGCACCTGGGTAATGCACTGCTAGGGATTTCGTCACGTGATGCGAAATTCCCACCCTTCCCACCGATTCCCCCTCCTCCTCCTCCTCCTCCTCCTCCTCCTCCTCCTCCTCCTCCTCCTCCTCCTCCTCCTCCTCCTCTTCCTCCTCCTCCTCCTCCCTCCTCCTCCTCCTCCTCCTCCTCCTCCTCCTCCTCCTCCTCCTCCTCCTCCTCTCTCCTCCTCCTCCTCCTCTTTATATCCCTCCTCTCCTCCTCTTTATATCCTCTCCTCCTCCTCCTCCTCCTCTCCTCCTCCTCCTCCTCCTCCTCCTCCTCCTCCTCCTCCTCCTCCTCCTCCTCCTCCTATCCCTCCTCCGATTCGCATCACGTGACGGATCCAAGTCGCCCAACTGTGGCAACAAACGCGCGAGCGAAGCAACTCGCCGACCCCGTAGGCGACAAGCGCGCGGGGCAACCGGGCGGGTTAGCTGCAAACGACAAGTTGCGAGGCGCAGCCGCGCCCTGGGGGTTCCAGAAGCCACCAGGAGCTTACTCAGGGACGCAGACGCAGACGTAGACGCGCGAGTCCGCCGGCCGGCGGGCCGGCAGGCCCCTTGAGGGCGGCGCGGGCGGGCCGGAGCCCAGTCACAGGCATGTGAACTTCAAGAAGTCGCCTTCGAGGTCTGCCCAGAATTTGGAAGTTGTAGCACTCTGTAGCCATGTGCCGGGTGTGCTTCCAACCAAAGCCTTCTGTAGAAATTTAATGATGTCGTCACTTCACCGTTTTCGCTGCCCGCCTTGTCGGCGTCGTGCTGCCCGGGGGT